CCAAAGGATGCATGCGGGATCAAACTACCAATGCAAATTTGTATTGAGCTTGTGATGGGTTAGCGAAGGAATACCTGTCAAGGAACTGTTTTCGATTTTTCCCCCAAACGCGCAGAAAATTATGAATCCAAAATTTAGGTTTCCAGCAAATAACCAAACGACGAGAAACGAGATTTGCCTCTTGCGCTTTTTCAGCTGGAACGACCCTGACTAGCCCGCAATCATATGGTTTAAATTAAACCACCCAATATTTTTAACAGGATTCCGTACATCACTTTTTCATATGCAGTCCATGCACATTAGATCTCTCGAAAGGGATTGAAAGCACAAAACAAATGATATGTGAGTGTTAGATACCTGAAAACCTACAGTGTCTCCACATACCTTATGTAAAATTTGTGTTTTACCACGCCTTCCTTTTGCGGTCACAAGCTTTGCAAAATACTGAATTCAACATCGGCTGAGTTATCATCATCAAGTTATTAGGTGCATTTGCGAGGAACATTATGCGCATAGATAAGACCGTAGTAGCAGCCTTACTCCTCGGAGCAAAACCAGCGGAATTGAGATATGGATGCGTTGATATTTCGTCACCACGCCCTTATCAAAAAGAATATAACAATCTGTCAGGAGCCATCTATGGTGACAAAGACAGAAATACGACTTAGGCCTAAAGGCCTAAAAAAGGGTCTGCCTCCCTTCCCCCCCCCCCTGCTCCTGGCTGCGCCCCTGACGGAGACGATCCAGATCATACGGCTGTCATTGCCATCGAACGTAGTCCTCACTCAGCGATGTGCCTTGTCATGAGCCACGAGCGTGCTAAACCCGAACGTAAACATGTGTGTTTGGTTCACAGGGTCAAGTCTGACACAAAATAGTTATGGCCTTATCATGACTCAAGCAAACTCATTTTCCGTCTAACCATTCGAACCAGCCTTTGATTTAAACACATCGGCATAGCCGGCTTTGGCAGATTCTGATTCAAGCAAAATAGGGTCTGCGCCATGATTCGAAGCGGTAAGGTTCGGATCAAGTGAATATTTCCAGTGCATGAACACATAACAAACTATCACAATTTCAAACACGAATCTTGCCCAGTGGCTAAGCTGTTAAAAGCCTTTAGCTGAGAAATTAATGGCGTAAGGTTAAAGTTAGAAGAATATTTGTAAATCCTGCACATTGCAGACATTTGAGCAAAACACTGTGGGTCTCTGTTCATTTGAGCGCAAGAGTTCATGCAGCTCTCCGAAACACGAAGCGTTTGTTTCACAGATAGTAGCATTACGGGATGAACACGTTTCAGTGTGTTGTAAACATATGTGGACTGTTCCCCACTCTCTCAAATGCTTACATACCTATAATATATATATATATATATATATATATATATATATATATATATAGCTATACATATATACAATAAATGTATATATATACATATATATATATATATCTACATATATATATATATATATATATATATATATTCATAAAAATGTGTTTAAATGATTCAAGTGTTATGGTGCGCTGAAATTGGGTACAACTAATTTAGCTTCAACTGTAAGACACGCTGTTATTTTTTCCGTCACTTACCTCAAACGGATATTGAAACAGTCGTTTTTCGGGTCTTTAATTTGATACTGATGACTTGCTATTGATTTTAGTTGATTCAACCGACTCAAGCCACAACCATCGAGCTATATATGATTCAGAATGATGTCAAAAGCTGCGGATTTAAGGGAAGCCTAACTCACAGAAAAGTTGGCTAAATGTTTATGCCATTCTGAATCAGAATCGATTCAAGGACAGGGTTGGGGCTTGACGATGTCAAGCCGTGGAGAAATCGTTGAAGCACATCGCGAAAACACACCATTTCAGTGAAGCTCCTTTCGACACGCTCGAGACCACGCTGAAGGCTCCAATGCATAGCCACTTAAGTCAGCCCTTTGCTCTCCATCGGATGCACGTATGAACGAACCAATATGAAACTGCATCCGACATACGGCCGGATGTTTGAAGCATGTAATTGTAACAGGTTATGACTCACCTAATAAAGCGGAACCCACAAAATCCGTTCAGACGGCGTCCGTTCGACAGCTGTCCAAAATCAAGCTCCGTGTGCGCAGCAATGTCATACATGCGTGGTAGATTGTCGATACACGAGGGACGCGGAAGAACGCCACGTTGTAACGCAAACAAAAAAGGTGAGTGCGATGCGAGGCTCAGTTTAGGACTCAATGGTAACTCTTTCGAGCCACGACACGCCTCCAGCGACAATCGCCCGCTCATTCTCCTCCTGCGCGACCCGAACCGCCCCAACCTCACTCACGGCCCGGTCACGTGACCCACCGCCGCCGGCCACGGACGGACGCCTGCTGACCCAGGGTCAGAACACGCCCGACCGCGGCAGGCCCTGTGCGCCAGCTGCACCTCCAGTCTCACACGATGTCAAAATATCTCCTGTGAGATTGTCACATCGCCAAGATCAATACGCGGAGTCATATGCAGTCTATCGAGACTATGTTTTAAAGGATTTGCGTTCCACTAAACGTTTTATCAAAATTCGGCGACCAACGGAGTTGTTCTGAAACTGGCTTTTGATATGTAGCTCAAAGTGAAACTATATATATAGTGATTACACCTTGTGAATTATGGACACCTCCAAATGAAAAGTACACAGAATGCGGCATGCCGCCTTAAGCACCACACTTCGCGATCTGAAAACCACCGTCGGTCGGGATCTGTTCCACTTGGGTCCCGCGCGAGGCGGCGAAGGGCCTGACAGCGCCCTCCACACGCATCAGAGGTGACAAGGCATTAGAAGGAGATCCCCACCGCCTGCTAGCCCCTCACTTCTGCTTGCAGTACTTAAAGGACATAGTAGCATTTTGTAACGGTGTTAAATAACATTTAATATGACATAGTACAGAAATCATTTTACATAATGATTACTTGAACCAGAATAAAGTAATGTTTTATTTCATATGATTAAATTACATTTACTAATTTTACATGAAACAGGCAAATCAGTTGCAAGCCGAGTCGGAGCTATGCATGCCTCTTGGTTGGCGACAGACGCCCGTGAAGAATACACATCCTGATACGGTTCAAACACCAGGGAGACTGGAATGTCCCAGTGGCGTCAGTTCTTTCCATGCGTCGCCATGGGATCAGTGCCAAACTTCCGCGAAAAGTTGGAGGGTCACGATTCCCACAAAATTTGGGGACCTTGATCCTAATAATCCTAGGTTGGGAGAGCCTTTCCCAGGATTCTCACTTCTATGCCACAAGCACAGAAGATCACGCAGTTTCTTTTGAGCTACAATGATTAATAGCAGACGTGAAGACAAGGAACAGTTATTAGTTTGAATGTTCGTAATCACGACTCCACTGCAGCTCATAGCTAATTTAGCAACCGTAACGCTTGGAGTCGCCCACCCCGAGTGCAACGCTCATAACTACTCGTGCGTTGCGTTATGCGCGTTGTTTATGCTGTAATCTATAGCATCACCTTTTGTCATTGATGTTTCTGCTATTCCTGGTTCTGCTTTAGTTGGTTCCCTGGTGCATTTGAAATCGATGAACTCAATTACGTATAAATGAGCAAGACAGAGGCAGCAAGACATTTCTTGTTTGCTTTCCTGCATTCAGATTCCCGAGTGATTTCAAAACAGACACATACTCCTCGTGTAGCGCGAGGGGCGCGAACAAAACACAAACGTCTGATACCTGAGCGCCCGCTTGCGTAAGCCGTAACGCGAATATTCTGGGAGTGGCCGGGCGGCTCGTGCCAGCTGCAGCTCGTGCTGCACTAAGCCCATGTTCGTGTCGGATGTCAGAGCAGCACCAGTGGCAACGAGACGGACACGACCAGTCCCGTGATGCATTAGCCTTTTGGAGAAGGCGTGATGCTTGTCGGTGTCGGCGACCGCTGTGGTCGTGCGTTTGAAGTGTAGCGGGCGCGTCACGTTCGCAGACAGGCCAGCACGCCGAGCAGCACCAGATATGTACATGAGCCAACGAGCCCGACAGTGGCACTGCGCACTTTTATCTCGAAACTTGACATCGGCGGCCAAAATTGTGCATGAACATTTGCCGCTCCCGGTACTGGGTGAGCGGTTTGGGGGGGAGGCAGGGCCGGGAAGGGTAGTCCAATACCGGCGCGGTGTGCCGGTGATCAATGTGCTCGATGCCGGCAAACATGTTTTCGCGCCGGAGAGGTCCCGGCCGTGGGGGCTTTTCTTTCGCCGAGCCGCCGCCGGCACTGATTTAGCCCCGGCTCCTGGTACCACGGCACTAAAATCTTGCATATCTAACACCGACCGCACCTTTCCGCAGACCGCGGGCGGCCGCAGCCCGTGATCTAACCCCGCTCTCACGTCCTCACCGCACGGCAGCGGTGCGAAGAGAAGGCGGCAGCGGCGGCGGCCTGCCCGTCCGCTGCAGGCGCCGCAGAAGACGGGGCTCCTCTGCCTGACCCCTCCCCTGCCGTGTCCCGCGCCGGGAGAACAAAGCGGCGCCGGTCCAGGCCGAGGGCGGCGGGTGCCGCGTGCGTGGCGCCGCGCCGCGACACTTAGCGCCGCCAAGGCCAGGCCAGGTTCGGCCGGCAGCCAGTGCCGGCGGCCGTCCGGGCGCCTGCGTCCCACCCATTGGCGTAGACAATTGTAGTACCTCCGGGGAGAAATACCATCACTAGTAAACCTGTCAACCCGCCGAGACCATCAACAACTTAATTTTCTTAGCCAAGCGTGTTGGCAGCTTGTTATTTTCGCGCCAAATTATTCCACAAAATAATTTAATGTAACGACCCAGCTGTGCTTTAAACAGCCAGAGGTACAAACACGTTGCGTCTAAGAGCACCCAGCTTAACCGTTCCCGTCGGCTGGGGCCGGCGCGCGGATAAGCGGCCGCCAACGGCCGTCGCACGCGGTACCTCGCCGAGCGGCGGCCAACGCACTGCCTGCGGCGGGCGGCTCGGATTGAGACCTGGAGATCGGGCGCGCGCGCGGCTGACAGCGCAGTGGCCGGCCGCCCGTGTTTACCGAGGGAGCGTCGCGCGTGCGCTCCGCCACCGACTGTTTGCACGACGTGTTTGCACAGTGATTCGGTGAGTACGATGATGGTGTTTGATTGGATTACCCGCGCTGCGGCCAATGGCAGCCACCATGTGTGTTTGGCAGCCGCCCGCGTGTTTGGCCGCGCTCGGCGATTTGTCACCGCGTGATGAGCTCGGCGGCGGCGCGCGGTGCCGGTGTTCTGCTGCGGCCGCGCCGCCGATCGCTCCGTCACTCGCCGCCGGTCGGGCTGGCCGTGCGCCGGCGCCGGCGGCGGCCGCCCCGCGCTGGGTGGTCCGGCCCGACTGCGTGTCGCGGCCGTCGTCGGCACGGCGCGTGACGCCGGCGCATTAGACGACGCCGGTGGGCGGCCGGCCGAGTGGGTGGTCCGCGCCGAGAGAGCGGCCGCGCCCGGCCCGTTTGTTGTGGAGAGGCGCGGCGTCCCCGCGCCGGCGTCGGAAAAACAGCGGCCGCCGCGCCGAGGGCTCCCGCGATCTGGGGCGGAGCGGCCGGGATCCCCGACCGGAGCTCTGCCCTCGGCGCTGGCGTCCTGGAGAGGGCCGGCCGAGATCGAGGGAGCACTGCCGGCGTCTCCCCGGCTCTGCTGCCGGGATCCCGTGTGAAGTGCCGAAATGCGCCGACTAGTGCCGGGATCCACCACTGTAGTGCTGAAAGGTGCTGACAAGTGCCGGAATCCCCGACTGCGTTGCCGGGATCCCCGACTGTAGTGCTGAATTGTGCTGACTGGCACTGGGATCCTCGGTTGTAGTGCCGGGATGTGCTGACTAGTGCCGGGATCTCCGCTTGTAATGCCGGGATTGTCGACGAGGGCGCTTGGTTGAAATGTCTGGTAGTGGCGTAGGGATTCACAAAGGGATTCACAAACGTAGAGACGGAATTTCCTTCTTATGGGCCGAGATATCCGAACTGTGGTGCCCGGGCCAGGATATTCCAGGTACGGTGCCCGGGCCAGGGTATCCGAGGTATGGTGCCCGGGCCAGGATACCCCAGGTATGGTGCCTGGGCCAGGATATCCTAGGTGTGCCCGGAACACCAACTGTGATTCCGGGACACCGATTGCGCCTGTCGTATGGGGATCACAGATTGGATGAAATGTCATGGCTCTCGACCCGCTGAAGTGCCGATGCCGCTGATGCCCAGTCCGGATCCTGGGTTGTCCCTGCCTTGATCCCACACCGTTTTCCGGACTTGATGGGAATTCGGATCTCGGACTATCGTTCCGGAGTGCACGATTGTCTCACAGTACGGATAGGGTCCCAGTGGACGGGATTGACGGGTAAGTTCGGGGTTCCACACTGTAGGGAACCAAGAAGTTTGATTTACCGTCTTCCCGCCCCGCGTCAAATCAGTCCACGCTGTCTGCTCCGGATCCCGTGCTGTCGGGATCCCGTATCCGCTCCGGAACCCGCGCTGTCCCCGGCGGATCCGGCGCGGCGTGCTGGACGCTGCCTGGGCGGGCTGTGTCCAGTGGCGGGGCTCAGATGGACCCGCTGTCGCCCTCGCCTGTTCGCCTCCCCGGGCGCTGGGGCTCAGATGGGCCCCCGCCGCCGCCCTCGCCCGCCGCCTCCGCGACGGGCTGTGTCCAACGCCGGGGCTCACGCGGGTCCCCACCGCCGCCCTCGCCCGCCGCCTCCGCGACGGGCTGTGTCCAGTGCCGGGGCTCAGATGGACCCGCTGTCGCCCTCGCCTGTTCGCCCGCCCGTCGCCTCGAGCCGGCGTTACCTGACACCGGCGGAGCGAACCGATGCCCTGGCGTCGATTGGCCCTGGGCGTCTCGGCTTGGTGACTCTGCAGAGGTGTGGCCACCGGCCAGGCCAGTGTTGGAATAAGCCCTCCGCTGGCTTTTGTCGGCCCGCCCCAAAAATGTCCACTCCTTTGCTCAAGATGGATGCACTCCCTTTGACTGGGCTGATTGTTTAGTCGATAAGTTGGGCCTTCTTTACGGCAGCTCGCTTTGCCCTGTGCTCAAGTCGGCGTGATGTTACATGCCGATAGGCATTGCAGCAGACCTTGTGGCAGCTTTACCAGTTTTTTGCGAAATTAGTGGTATTTTTTCTCCCGGGCTGTGCCAGCTCTCCATCGTGGCCTGGGCACGTCCCATACCTTGCAGCTCAGCGACACAGTGATGACGCGCGACAGAGGGATGTGGGGCCCGGCCCCGTGATAATTAAGGGGTGCGTGAGACACGTGCACACGGAGACCCGGATAGTCCCCCATGGTCTGGCCTAGAGGAGGCGTTGTGTTAGCGGGTGGTTTTAGATTGCTTTGTAGGCACAGCTGTTTTGGTTTTTGAGAGATTGCGCCCGAAGCATGTCTCCGTTGTATTTTGCATGGAATGAACAGAAGACTTTGGGTTCCAAGGAACGGTTCTTCAACCTCGATAAATCCGAAGGAACTGAAATGGTGCCATTTGTTCTCCATTGTGTTCACACGAAAGGCTTTGAATCGTACATCACAGGAAAGCATTAATCAATATCGCGTGCTCCCTTCCCTCGTAATGCCAATGCTAAGCCCACATGTTTCTGGAATTATTGCCGCGCGAAGGAAAACTTCCAGCAATGAGAAAATGACGAATAGAGCAGCATGCCGTAGTTTCTCTTCGACGTGTGTAACGCGCATTTTCGTCGTCATAGATGCGATGTTCGTCATATTTCGGCGTACGGTGCATCGCCGCACTGCACTGAGCCAGTTAGTTGTCTGGTCGTCCGGCCGCGGACTTCACCGCTGACCTGGGCCAATGGGCGACGCAGACAGCTTGGACATTTGCTGAGCTTGCCGTCTTGTCTCGGCGTCGGGGCGAGTTCCGGGATTTGTTTATGGGAAGTGGCGGTGCTTTCCTTTGCGGAAAATTGATGGGTTGTAGACATGCGAAACAAGTTGTGATTGTCTGGTCACTAAGGCGAAGAACAGCACGACAATCACTGATATGGTCATGCAACTTCGTGATTTTGTCCTTGTAACTTCCGTAGCTGAGCCTCATGAACCTGAATCTGATTTGCGCTATGTGATCGTTACGGCACGACGCTTCAGAACCCAAATCATTAATCAATGAATCCGAACCGCAATGAGGGCAAAGTAACAAGCAAGGGACGATGAACATAACAATTGTATTTTGACATGTGTGTGTATGTGTGTTAGAAAAGCACCATGTCAGATCCGCGATCTCGTACGTTGGGGTGCCGATAGTGCATTGGTTAGTGCGTCTGCTTTAACCACTGCGCGTCTGGGAAAACGGGGTTCGATTTCCTGCTGTGTCCGCCCGTCCTGTCAGGGTGCGAGGCAGGCGACGCCATCCAGCCTCAGCAGCTGAGTGCGTCGTATAGCCCCAATGACGACGATCTCGTACGTCGGTCCGACCACCAAGCAGCTTTGGATCCCGAACAACTACTGACGCGGAGGTTGTGGTTCCTGCCAGCTACATTCGACCTGAACCGGTGCAACGCCAACCTGCAAGCCCACATCATTCGTCGCAAAATCATGCAGGAGGTCGTGTGGGACGCGCCACCGCATGGCGTGCGCCGCGCACGACGCCGCGGAAGGTGACCCGACCGTGTACGACCTATGGCGAGGACCGCAGCCGCCCGGCGCAGCGGGTCGGCGTGAGCGGGAACGACGGGCGGCGCCTGAGCACTCGGACGGTCCCTCCCCTCCCTGCCGATAGTCCGGTTATGGTGCTACCTGGGCTGTCGGCGGTATCTTGGTTTGGCGCCGTTTAGGACGCGTGGCGTCTGGTATGCACTTACCGCCTTTTGACTGCGGACGCAACTCCGTCGTCGGCCTTGACTCTGCGGCAAATATGGACAAGACCAGCGACCGGAGCCCGGATAGTTTCGAGAGCGCGCGAGGGGACAGCAGGTCGTCTGCGTTTGAATTACCATGCACCGGTCTGCTCTGGGGCGGCCGAGCGTTTCCCCGCGTCTTTCGCCCCGCGAATGAAGGCGATTTGCGCTGGCATGCACTGCTGGGGAACGCCGAGTGAAGTCGAATGAAGTCGTTGACAACCGTACAGGAATTTGCATGTGATCCCTGACAGTGAGATCATGCGACAAACCACTCAGCATGCAGCAGCGGATGACTATCTGGGCAGCGTCTCACCCGTGTGAATCTCCGCTGTGTTGGACAGGACTACTCAGACCAAGAGTGGCCTTCAGCGCTGTGCAGGGGCTGGAGCCGTGCTCAGGAGGTTTGTCAAAACCGCTGACGAGTGGCCCTCGGCCCGGCTGTGTGACGCTCGCTGAGGTCCGGTCCCGGTCCCCGGCTTCGTGCCCGTGACCCGCGTCGGCTGCCGCGCGCCGCGGCCGGCGAGCGAGCCGCCCGGCGGCCTTAACGGGCTCCCGGGCCTCGGCGGTGAAACATGAGAAGCGGGCGCCGAGCAGGGGGCTCGTGGGAGGCGGGCGGGACGTGAGAGAGCCTGGGCTATGACGGCGGAAAATAACGCGGGGCGCAATCAGGGAGCTAATGGTGTGGTGTGTTCGGGCTGCCGGGGACCAGCTGCCACCGTACTAATGCATGAGGGAACACTTGGCTGGGGTCGACACTGGATCATATCTGACGGTTTGGACTTGCACCTGGCACCTTGGACAAATATGACTGCCATCCATTCTGCCTTGGTGCTGAATAAAAGATCTGACGTTTCGAATTTCCGTTGTCGAGCATGATGGATTTTGCCCGTTAAAGTTGACAGCGCAATTTATGAGCGGCAAAAACATGACAACTTGTTGAAGGGCTTTCAGTGCAAGCACCATTCAGATCGCATTATAGATACCACGGCATACTCCGTTTACTTACCATATGCATCAAAGCAAGGAGGTGGAGGTAGGGCCACTTCATCGCGGTACCAATGCATTGCATTGATGCATTCGTATTCAGATTATTCACTTTTTACCGCGCGTTTGGTGCCAGTGATTTTAGATGGATCAAAGAACTGTGGTTTGGGCCTGTGTATTAAAAACACATTTATTCAGGCCAGCGGGGCTTGCATAGGGAGACACTTCCCGATGAGAATAAAACTGTGCTTACACAGGTGTGTAAC